GTCTTTGGTTAAATAATAAAAAATAAAAAAAAATTAAAAATCCTACTGACACCAAACTGTTAAATGGTGATGTATGTACGGTTATGGTTCTCTAAATGTCTAGGTAGAATCTCAACTGATGTGTGTGTGACACTTTAGTATGACATTAACATTCAATTATTCATTCAACACAAGCAATGAAGTCATATTACAATCAGCCAAAAGTTATGCATTTTAGCACCTAATTATAGCTGACACTTTAGTATGACATTAACATTTTAATTCATTCATTCAATTATTCATTCAACACAAGCAATGAAGTCATATTACAATCAGCCAAAAGTTATGCATTTTAGCACCTAATTATAGCACTTGAGGTTTGATTTACGATGTGGTTAAATAGCATGTGTCAGGAAAGGAAGAGTGTCTTTTATTTGCCTATAAAAGAAAGTTAGTGTCTTTTATTTTCTTCTGCAAAGGCTGGTAATCCTCATTCTGACAAAAAGAGTCAGGAAAGCCCACCCTCAAGATTCTATTATATTCTGGGCTCAGATCCCTTCTTCAACGCAAATCTATGGGATTTGTTCACCCAGTTTATCGTACATCAGCCGAAAATGGTCTGATCACTCAAGTCGCAGGATTTGGGGAATCAGCAGTGTGGCATGTGTTACACACTGAAGCTTAATACTTAGGACTAGAGGTTTTGAATAACTTCGTAATCATTAACAAGCTGTTTTACAGCACAGTGTCAATAAATGGCTAGATCAGGGAGCTAGTTCTACATCGCAAACTTTGTAGTATATCTGCACAAGCAAATGCATAAAACATTTTTTTTTTTTAAAGAAGATTCAATTTAGATTCTGGAAGCGGCACTGGAATGAATCATTTAAGCCAACGAGTTTCATATAAATGAACTTGCTGACTCACAAAGAAGCTTTAATTTGTTTAATTTAGATTGATCGATTGTTACAGATTTCTATAATGATGTTTCATCCTCAGTGCTGTTTAACTAACGTTTGCATTCAGAGATCGATACAGAGATGTCATTAAGGTAGCGCCGCTTTTCCTAAGACAGACAGAAATCTTTAATGTGAACCTTAACGAGGCCCTACATTGATTTTCTGAATGTCACTCCATTGTTTGAAATGCACAAACACACATCATCTGTTACGCTTATTCTTCAATTGCACGTTCATTACCGCTAAGAGGAGAAGCAATTTTGGTTCACACAAGAATGATTCGGTCATAAATGTCCAGAAGGTAAACTTTGAACTGTTGCAGTCACTTTGCTCGTCTGAGGTACTTTTAAGAACTACAGTAACAGTATGCTATTTATTAAAGCATGCATGAGAGAGCAAAGAGAACAAGCAGAGGTTCTTTTGCTGTGCAAGGAAAAGAGCCAAATGTGTTTTTATTCTCAAGAGGAGGTGCTTGCCTCCAAAACTCTTAATGGTGTGATCTAAGAAATTAGGTGTAACACTTGCCTGAGGAGATGTATGAATTATTAAAGGAGTAATGATTTAAATAAGTAAATAATTCATACTCCTGTTTTACTACACATCTAAGAGAACTTTCATTATTGTCCAGAGAACATGGTGTGTGATGATGTGAAAATAGAAACATCAAAACTTCTGGTCAAGTGTCAAATTGGAAATTGGAAGAACGCCACCTTATTATATATATATATTTAATTATTTTATTTATGTTTGTATACAAAATTGGAATTCCGAATGTACAGAATCAGTTTTATGCTGATTTAATAAACAATATTAGAGTAAAACAAAAAACAGACAGAGGGAAAACTTGTAGAGAAAAAAAAAAATATATAT